CGGAGTCTCTCTCTGCCTGTCCCGGAGTCTCTCTCTGCCTGTACACGTGTGTGCAGATGGGTCTCACACACACTCACCTGCTCAAGCTCCTCATCTTCAAATGCTCCATCACAAAGGCAGCCCCACCTCCCGGCAGGTCGATGACCTTCATGGGCCTTGGCACCCGCACCAGGCCCGTGCTCCGGAGGGCCTCCAGGCTGGCCACCTCCCCCTCAAACATCTGCCGGGCCTGCATCCAGAACACAGCTGTGAGCCTTATCAGCCTTGTTGACTCAGCCAGGGCCTCTGCCTACTGGGCCCTTGATGGAAGTGAACACGTGGGAGTCACAAGGACCTTCAGTCACTGATAGCTGGCTGGGAGCTGGCGTCCAACACAGAGGGCATGGTGCAGAGGGGCCCCTGTCGGAGAGAGAGGCTGCAAGCTGAGGCTGAGCCTGCGGCATGAGGAGTGTGGGGTCTGCAGGCTGCTGTGACAGGAGGATGCACAGGCCACGTGTGGGCACCAGGGAGCACTGAGGGCGTGGGGAGGTGTGAGTGAACCAAGGTCCGGAGCTGGACCCCCGGGTTACCCACCTTCCTTGCTGCCTTACTTAGGGTGGGGCAGCCACAGCACACACATCGGTGGAGCTGACTTGGGCACACACTTCGGGCAGGGAAGAAGAGGGCTGGGCCCATCAGGCGAGGCCTCAGGTCCAAGGCAGGGGCTGGAAAGCTCAAAGGCGCCGTACACCTGGCCGGCCTCTGCCTCCCCCGGGACCTGGGCCTTCCTGTTTCTGAAATATTCCCACAAACATTCCTACCGTACGTCAAGTGAACTCTCACCTCACGTACACTGCACATTAGTTGAAAACATGCATTGATGAACGTGGTCTGTGAATACCTCGGCCTATAGAATTGCATGTTTGTCTGTTTTGAGACAGGGTCTCACTCTGTCACCCGGGCTGGAGGGCAGTGGCATGATCTCGGCTCACGGCAGCCTCCACCTCCTGGGTTCCAACAATTCTCCTGCCTCAGCCCCCCGAGTAGCTGGGATTACAGGTGTGGGCCACCCCACCCTGCTGTTTTTTTTGTATTTTTACTAGAGATGGAGTTTCACCATGATGGCCAGGCTGGTCTCGAACTCCTGGCCTCAAGTGATTCACCTGCCTCGGCCTCCCAAAGTATAGAATTGCATGTTTAAAAAAATCAAACCTCATGAATGAGACCAAAGCATCAACTGGTGCACAGGAACAGAACGCCCTTTCCTTCAAAGTACCCCAGGGAAAGCTCAGGGACAGCCTCCCCAGCCTGGCAGCCCTGGCCAGCCTGCACCAAGGGTGGGTGTGAGCGTCCCCAGGTGGGAGGGCGGCCGGCACGCCCCAGCCCTGCTCCCAGGGTGAGCTCACAAGCACCATGCCGGGAACTCCTGGGCCTGCCCCAGGGGCTCCAGCATCACCTGCTCTCCTGCAAGGACTGAGCAGCTACCGTGGGCAGGCCCTTCACGGGGGTGGGAGGGAAGGAGGGGTCTCACCCGGCAGAGCTTTCAGGACCAGCTGAGGAAGTTTCCCAGGGCCCGTGGGAAGCCTGAACCAAAAACTGCTTCCCTGTGAGTGGGACTCCCCACGTTGAGGGTTTTGGGTTCTGAGCCGGCAGAGCCAGCGGTGCAGGAGGATCTGATCGCACATCCAGGCTGTATGGCTCTGGGGTTCCTCCTGCCAGCACTGCCCACCAGGACCCCTGCTGCCCCTCAGACAGCCCCCCCACCAGAGTGTATAGGGCCTCCTGAGCCCACTCAGGCCAGGAGGGCACCCAGGCCTGCCTTTCCCCACCTTTCGGCTCTCAAGGCCTAACCTTCTCCACTTTCTCCGATAATATTTTCCATACTTTTTTTTTCTTTTTTTTTGAGATGGAGTCTCGTTCTGTCACTCAGGCTGGAGTGCAATGGCATGATCTCAATCTCGGCTCACTGCAACCTCTGCCTCCTGGGTTCAAGCGATTCTCCTGCCTCAGCCTCCCCAACAGCTGGGATTACAGGCCCGTGCCACCATGCCTGGCTAATTATTGCATTTTTTAGTAGAGACGGGGTTTCACCATGTTGGCCAGGATGGTCTTGAACTGTTTACCTCAGGTGATCCACTGACCTCGGCCTCCCAAAGTGATGGGATTACAGGTGTGAGCCACCGTGCCCGGCCTTCCATACATTCTTAAACAGAACTATTTTCAGCAGGAGATAGAAATCAGGTCTAAACACAGGCACGGCCTGTGGGAAGGAGAACGCTGGCCTGGCCCATGGGGTCCCTCCCTGGCAGGGGCCCAGCCATGTCTCTGCTTCTTCCCCACTGCCAGGAGGACGGTGGGCTGAGAGGGGCGGCCCAAAGTGGAGCCAGGGACCCCAAGCCTCACCTCCCCTGATGCTTGCTGGATAGAAAAGTTAAAACCACCCCCAAAACCCTGTGCGCTGCGCACCGAGGCCAAAGGAAGGTCACGGATCGTGCAGACACAAACCCTCACTGAACGCCTGATCCGGGCCCACCCAGCAGGTGCCACCTCCCAAGGGCCAAAGCTGACCGCCCCCTCCCCAGGCCCAGCCCCAGG